CTAAAGTTTGGAAGTATTGATATAGTCTACTTTGCAGTACGCTATAATCAAATGGAGAGAGCATTGTATTTGGTGTTAAGACAACCTAGGATTTAGTTCTGATTGTTCTACTTACTAACTTGACCCCAAGGGAACATAGAGTTTAGTGGGAAGAGAGACATGGAAAAAAAATAACTGCTTTAGCAAGAGACCTGATGTATATGCAAAGGGCTATCAAAGTCCAGCAGACACAGGAAAGCCTTCCCAGAACAGTGAGCATTTGAGCTGAGACTTGAGTTGGTGAGCTTGGGGTAGGAATGGAGAACAGGAGGTGAGTGACCCGGGAAAGGGCACGAGCAAGGGCATGGGGAGACCTATGTCCTGGAATTTAAAATGATCAGTATTCTTAGAACATGAAGCCCGAGGGACATCATTATTTTCATGTCTGAAAATAACAGATGAATATCCTTCAGATCATGAAGAATCTTGAACGATATGTAAAGACACACTTCATCCCATAGTTGTGGGGAGCCATTTTAGAAACCCAAACCTGAAAGTGTTAGGTGGTTTACATAAGGATTAGATGGATTGTTAGATGGATTACTTGGTGGCTGGATAGAGAATAGTCTGAAGGATTTTTAATCTTTATGAGGCTTAACTCTATTTTTCTGCTCAATGAGCTAATACTAATACTTGTCCAGCTATTTACAGAGTTTTATGAAAATTAAAGAAAAAAGTATATAATAGCATTAAAAAACTTTATAGCCCTCCATGCTGAAACCGGTTTGGCTCAGTGGATAGAGCGTCGGCCTGCGGACTGAAAGGTCCCAGGTTCGATTCTGGTCAAGGGCATGTACCTTGGTTGTGGACAAGGGCATGTACCTAGTGGGGGGTGTACCAGGGGCAGCTGATGAATGTTTCTTTCTCATGGATGTTTCTAGCTCTCTATTTCTCTCCCTTCCTCTCTGTAAACAATCAATAAAAAATATTAAAAAAAACCAACAACTTTATAGCCCTCCAAAGATTATTATTGTTGTTAATATTTTTTCCCAAAGTTAACTTAAAATAATTTGAGTGAGACCTTTTAAGGGAGGCCAAAATAAGAGAATTTCTTTTTTCACTTAAAAAAAATCTGACAGTCATTTTGGTTTCCTGGTATAAGGGAAGTATTGATAGTTGATTTCAGGACACCACATGTAAGAAATGCATCCATGACTGTTGAGATAAATAGGCCTAGACTAAATATTTTTAGAATAGCGTCTTTGGAGTCCTAAGAACTATGGTTGATTCTAGATAGGTTCACGTGTGTTATCTATGTAGAAGAAAAAGATGGACACAGCCACGAGGATAGCTAAGATAAAAAAAGACAGGTAAAAATGTTGATGATGTGGAGGAGCTGAAACCTTCATCTTTGCCAGTAGGCTTGTAACATGGTGCAGCCACTTTAGAAAAACAGTGTGGTCGCTTCTAAAGAAGTTAGACATCTTCTTATGAGCCAGGAGTTTCACTTCCAAATACATATATACCTACGAGAAATTAAAGCCTATGTCCATTCAAGAACTTTTACTCTACTTCTCCCTTTTAGCTAGAATCGCTGATAGTAATAGCTGCACAGGAGAAACAACAATCAGCTGATGAACCACTAAACAAAATGTGCTGCATCCATACAATGGGATATTTATTACTGAGCCACAGGAAAGAAGGAATTGCTGTTGCATGTTTCAACCTGGATGGACCTTAGAAACATGCTGAGTGAAAGAAGCCAGTCACAAATAACCATGTACTGCATGATTCCATTTGTGTGGAATGTCCTGAATAAGCAAATCCACAGAGACAGAAGTGGATGGGTGGTTGCCAGGGACTCGCAGGAGGGAAGAATCAGTGTGGAGGGGTGATGCTCATGGGTATGGGTTTCTTTTTGAGGTGATGAGAACATTCTAAAATTAGATAGTGGTGTTGGTTGTACAACTTTGAATATTAAAATACCACTAAGTTATACTTTAAAAGGGTAAATTTTATGGTATGTAAATGGTATCTTGATAAAGCTGTTATAAAAACAAACAAAACACAACAAGAAGGAATAACTTAGATCAGGATCTCTTGCATGCATAGAAATAGAGGTTAGCATCTGATATTAGTTTATGTAAATTCCTCAGGGATAATAATTATTTGAGTACTTCAGGCATTTATCACAATGTCTGAACATAGTAAACACTTAAATCTTTGTTAAAAGAATGAAATGATACCAAAAGGAAGAATCTTAGAAGTAAATTTTTATAGGGATATAAGGATAAAATAAAGAAGATGGAAAATAAAAACTATTAGAAATGATAAGAGAACTAAAAAAGTAGCCAGTTCCAAAGTAAATAAAGATGAATATATTTTCTATACATTTGTTGTAACGCAGTCATCTCTACATATAAAAGCCTAATATGCTAATTGTCCCTCTGACTTGTTTGACCAGTCACTATGATGCACACTGACCACCAGGGGGCAAATGCTCCAACTGGTAGGTTAGTTTGCTGCTGGGGTCTGGATGATCGGGACTGGGTGAGTCAGGCTAGACATGCCCTGGAGCCCTCCTGTGGTCCCTTCCTCAGCCCTGATTGTACACTGGTGGGGACCCATGGCCTGGCCTGCACCCTCTTGCAATCCGGGACTCTTCCGGGGATGTTGGTGAACCAGTTTTGGCCAGATCCCCAGAGGCCAGGCTGAGGGACCCCACTGGTGCAGGAATCCATGTACTGGGCCTCTAGTAAAATATAATGGGAAATATTTATACTTATAAAAGGGTAATATGCTAGTTAGACTGGACATCCTTCCAGAAAAAGCCATGGTGATGGGGGCCAAGGCAGAGGCAATTAGAGGTGACCAGGCTGGCCAGGGAGGGTAGTTAGGGGCGACCAGGCAGGCAGCTAGGTGAGCAGTTAGGAGCCAGCGGTCCCAGATTATGAGAGGGATGTCATACTGGTCCGAGGGGTCGCAGAATGAAGAGGTTGCAGGCTGGGCTGAGGGACCCCTCCCCCCATGCACAAATTTTGGGCACTGGGTTTCTAGTATTATTAATAAGAGCAATATGAAATACTTAAGAATCTACTTGGCAGGAAATGTACAAATGCCAATGTGAGGAAGAAAAAGGCATAATATTGCCAAGGGGCATCAAAGAACACTTGAAGATATACCATATTCATGGATGGAAGGACTTACTATTGTAAAAATGCTACTTCTCCCCTAAACAGATCTGTATATTTTATGTAATCCCATCTAAAATTTTCAGGGCGGGAGTTGGGTGTAGGGTAAAATTAACTAAATGATTAAAATGTAAATCTAAGAGGAGGAAAAAGTTCAAAACAAATGCAAGAATAGCCAAGAATATTTGGAAGAGAGTAATTGTGATGGGGATTTACTATACTAAAGAGTAAAGTATATTATAAAGCCATAATAGTGGCACAGAAATAGCAGACAGATCATAGAGGAAAATAACAAAAAGAAAATGCTAACATTTATTGAGCAGTTACTCTGTGCTTTATGGGTATTTACAAAATTTAAATTTCATACAACTGAGTTATATAACACTAGTGTAATTATCTTCATTTCACATCTAAAAATGAAATTCAGAGAGGTTTCGTAACTTGCGCAGGGTAATGTATTATAAGTATGTGGTAGAGCAAGAATTTAAACCTATGCTGATTCCAGATGCAGTGTTCTTAATTAGCAAAGATTTATTCTTGCAACTTATGCTATGTAAAAATATTTAGATAAACAAATGTTACTCACAGCATTGTTATAAGAGCCAAAAGTTAGAACTAATCTAAATATCAAGCAGTAGAGTATCAGTTAAGTATAATACACTTCTACAATTAAATACTATTCGTGCACCAGTGGGGTCCCTCAGCCTGGCCTCTGGGGATCTGGCCAAAACTGGTTCACCAACATCCCCGGAGGAGTCCCGGATTGTGGTATTTAAAGTTATGTAGAAGAATATTAAATGATATAGTAATGAGGATAATGGTATTAAATAGAAAAGTGGATTATAAAACACTTCGTATGCTAAAATATTTCCTCTAAGTGATAAGATTATGAATTATTTATATTTTCTTTTTGTTTATTGATATTTTCTAATTTTCCACAATAAAATGTGTTTTATCTCTGAAGAAAAATAATTACATTAAAATGATTATTTTATTTTTTTATTTTTAAGGTGTGTGAGGTTGTTATCCCTTCACCTGCTAGTTCGCTGAGCTGTCCTCTGTGTTTCCCTCTAGTCCCCTGTGTTTCCCTTTATCCCAATATCTTGTCATAATCATCAGAGTGTATTATCACTCTAACTCCTACTTCTATATTCTTGGTGCCCAGAATAATGTCTGGTGCCAATCATTGTTTCAGTCAGTAAATACTGTAGTATGGGAAGACGAAATAGCGTGGGAATGAATGGGAGAGATTGGAACCAAACTACAGAGATGTGTATCTGAGGTTATTTTTTCAGCTTTGTTCTTCATGATCCCAAAGTAAGTTGTAGATGGCGTATTATTTGATAATTCTTTATACTAATTCAGAAAATGGGTTGACAAAAAGAAAAAAAAAGACTTTGATCTCAGAACCATGTATCTTTAATTGTGGGAAACAAACAAAAATGTATGTAAAAGAATTTAACTGCAAAATAGAGAGTGAGAGAGAGAGAGGATTCATACACTAATAGAGATGCCAGAGTGAATCTTTCAGAAGTTATTGAGACAAGTGCAGGCTGTTTCAGCGGAGAATGCTGTCCTTCCTCCCCCATCATCCTTTTCCTTTCACCAGTTGTATCCAGAAAGCCATTCTTAATGAAAGGCTTGGCAGATGAGGGACTTGTTGCCTGGTTGCTTTTCAGACTTTTCTGGGTAAAAGATCTTAAGGGAGCTTGGGGACTGCCCCTGCTGGCCCAGCTGCTCACGTCATGTATCTATTTAAACATTTAATTTGACTGGGGGAAAAGCCAGAGAAATGAGCTTAACAACTCCTAATGTTATTCTTCTTTCCAGGAAGGGGAACAGTTTGTGAAGAAAATCGGTGGTATTTTTGCCTTCAAGGTGAAGGATGGCCCTGGGGGTAAAGAAGCCACCTGGGTGGTGGACGTGAAGAATGGCAAAGGATGCGTGCTTCCTAACTCAGGTCAGTGCAGTGACTTCCTTTACGGGAACACATCAAGTTCACAAAGGAAAATGGAAGTCTGCTTTGGTGTTCCCCAAAATGGGCTGGCGTCAGGACCTCGTTAAACTAGTGAATCCTGGGGAATCACAGCTGCCTCCTTACGAAGATTGGGAAACTCTATCACAGAGTCGCCAATCTTAGGCTTTGGAATTAGACAAACTTGGGTTCGGGTCCTAACCTTGCCACTCTCAGATTTTGACTTTGAATAAATTATTTGATTTCTTTGAGCCTCAGTTTTCTGATCTGTACCTGTGGTACCTATTTCACAGGTTTGGTGGGAGGATTAAGAGAATATCTCTTAAGTAATCTGTAAAGTACATGGTCCAGTGTATGGCTACATGGCTTGAAAAACCTGTCTATACTCACTATCTCCACTTCCTCTCATCCCAGTCTTTCTTTTTTTATGTACTGCCAACCATTTCTTCCATAGCTTTCCATTTCTTCCTTCCCAGTCTTTCTTGAACCCACTCTAGTCAGCTTTTGTCTTCATCACTGTGCCACAGCTCTTCTTGTCAAGGTGACTGGTGACCACCATGTTGCTAAATTCCCAGCCCTCATGATACGCTCCTCTTACCTACTAGCTACTCCTTCTTGGCCTCTCTTCCTGTTTTCCCCTCATCTCCAAATTTCTAAACATTGGAGTGCTGCAAAGCTCAGGTCTACCTACTGGGGATCTCATTTAGTCTCAGTCTTTTAAAACTATCTCTACACTGATGATTCCCAGATACCATCAGCATGGACTCAGCCACTGAACTTCAAGGTGTGTATCCAGTTGCTTAATTGATGTTTACTTTGGATATTTAATGGATATCACAAAACCAACATGTAGAAAAATGAACTCCTGATCTTCCTCCCACTCCCTTTTAATTATGTATTCCTCCACTGTTTTTCCCATCTCGGTAAATTATTGCTCTGTCTTACCAGTCCCTCAGTCCAGAAACCTTGAGGTCACCATTGGCTCCTCTTTTTCTCAGACTCCACAGTCTACTCCATCAGCAAGTTCTGTCCTCCTCTACCACTGCCACCTCAGCCTACGCTTCCATCACTTAGTTGCCTGGTCTCTGTGTTTCTAACCTTTCCCCTGCAGATTTCTTCTCCACACACAAGCTTCAACGATCACTTAAAAACTTAAGTCAGATTGTGACCCTCCTCTGCTCAGAATCATACAAGGCACCACATGACCTGGCCCAGCTTTCTGAGTCTTACTACACTCACCTTCACTTTGCTCCGGTCACACTGGCCTCCTTGCTGTTGCTTGAACATGGGGTCCCACCTCAAGAGCTTTCTGCTTTGTCCCCTCTGCCTCGAATTGTCTTCTCTCAGATGCCCTCATGGAATGTTTCCTCATTTCCTTTGGATCTTTATCCAAATGTCACCTTCTCAGGAACACTTTCCCTAACCACACTTTTACAATCACACCCCTATTACCATTCTTTATTTTTCTTTATGGCTCTTGTCACAATCTGATATACCATATAGTGTTTTACTTACTATTATTGACTTGCTTTCTGCTCATCCTCCCCCCATTTGAATTGCCTACAATAGTACCTGACACATAGTAAACCTTCAGTAAAATAAATAATTTAGAAATGGACAGCAGAATGAATGAATGATGCTTAGTAAGCATTCAGTAAGTGGTAGCTGTATTGTATGTTAGGTTTCCCTTGTTGGAGAGAGCTATTATAAGAAATATGATGGATGAGAACCAGCTTTTTGGAGGGTTTAAAATACCATGCTTGTGATTTGATGAATAATCAAGCAATTGGGAATCTGAAAAAGCTTTTTTAAAATAGAGAAGTGGAAGTCAGAGGATCTGTGTTTTATAGGATCGAGTTAGTACAATAGACTGGATGAACTGGGAAGGGAGAAGTCAGAGGATAGAGAGCAGCTAGGAGGATGCATGTTGCCACTCTCTGTGAGCCTGAGTGTGGGCAGTGAGAAAAGGGGATGCTGTTACAGGCCCACTGCCAAGGATATTGGGGTGAAGTTGATGGGACCCTGAAGCTGTGTAGGAGAAGGAGGTCTATCAAAGATGGTAGGATTCATAACTGATACAGTTTTGAGAGTGCTCCTGGAGGACAGGCTGACAGCAGGAACACAGGTAGAAGGAAGGTTAGGAGACAGGAGAAAATGTTAAGAGCAATGCTATACGTACTGTTAATTAAGGAGTCAACTAAAGATTAACTGAAGGGAAAGGGGAGCAGTAGTAAGGCCTTCCATCTGGTGAGGAAAGGATGGCGTTGTTGTGAAAAGTTCCTGAATTATATATGTAATCTTTTTTCTCAAAATGAGTGGCCAATAAAGGACTATATGTTTGACTTCTGTGAGCTGCTTCATCTAGATTCTACCTTTTAGAAATAAAAAGAACTTTTGGGGAAATAGTGGGTTTTTTTTTTTTGTTATTTATTTATTTATTTATTTATTTATTTATTTATTTATTTTTATGACTGAAGAGTTATAGATACTATAGGATTATATTCTGATACCCCCAAGCAGATGTTAAGGTGATTTAATTTTTTTTCTGTTTTGCTATTGGTGTTTGTTTGTCATGAGAAATAATATGCTTATGGAAAGCTATTACATAATTCAGGAAAACCTTGTTCCCTGCACAAGGACTCTGGCAATGAGCTCTCCCTTCATTAGGTGCCCCCTCCCAGACCTGAAGGGATTTTACCCAGGAGCGAGGTAATTTCTGCTGAAACTGACAATGCTGGCAGCCAGGGTGGTGCTGAAACATGGACTTACTCGGTAAAAGCCACCGCTGGAAATTGCCAGCTCCTTTTACATCAGCCAACAAGTGCCCGTTTGTTCGAGATCAGCTACGGTAAAGCATCAATAACCTGTCCTAGTTTGAACTGGCATCTTAGAGAATTGCTAGTACGTTTGGCATGCACATAGTGTTGAGGGATTTTCTTACCATTAACAAAGAACAACTTAAATATATTTCATTTGCTTGTTTTCTAAGAGTGGTAATGATTATACTTTAGACTTTGTGCATTTTCCATAATTTCTTTTCCTGCCTACGTGCCTGTGAATTCTGCTCCTCTTCTTCTTTGAAGCAACTCACATAGCATATCTTTAGGAAACCAACTTTGATTGATCTGACACGACACAAGATTCTTTCATTCCTTCAGTCTGCCCTCTCAGCACTTACTGGAGTTGTCCGCTCTCCCCTTTGTGGGGTACATGATATAGAAAGCCTCGCATCTCCTGTCCCCACGCTACAGTAGAAAGAGCATAGCCTCTGGAGACACCCAAACCTTGGCTCTGTCATTTATTAGGTGTATATCTTCCCTGAGTCCAATTGCCTCATCTAGAAAACGGTGAGAATAATTCCTATTTATGGAACTGTTGTGAGGATTAAATGAGATAAGGTACATAAAGCACATAAAGCTCATTTAATCACATAAAGGATTAAATGAGATAAGGTACATAAAGCTCAGTACGTGTTCAGTAAATCACTGCTTCCTTCCCAACCCAGATATTAAACATTAATTTTGATCGAACTCATTAGACTTCTCTAAGACTCTGTGGAGAGCTGAGAATGCAAGGGCTCCATCAGATGCTGATGGTTTGATAAAGTTCCCAATTAAAGCTGAGCTGGTGATGGGTTTGCAGCTTCTAATAACAAGAGGAGCCGTAAAGCCTACGAGATGGGGTCTGCTCTCACACCTAGCCCAGCTGCTTATCACTGGAGCAAGTTATGTGACCTCTCTGACACTCATAGAGTTGTAATGATCCACTGAGTTATGTACATGAAATGCTTGGCATAGCACGAGCTCAATAGATGCTGACACTACCTCAGCAGCGATAGCAGCAGCAGCATAGACTTCACTTCCTAAAGCCACCTCTCACTGACTGAGAGTCCTTTCTTGGACTGTTACCATAGGATCGAGTCCAACTATCTCAGTTTGCTAGATCCCTCCACCCTTCTCTTTGATGTTATATAGCTACAAGAAAATTGGATTTTTGAGATTGTCAGTTCTTTCATTTTCAAGGCTTCATACTTTTTCCAGTAATAAGGGGAAATTTTGTAGAGGCAGAGATGGAATGGCTATTGAATCTCATTCTTGTTTGGGGTTATCTCTGAGTTGTAAGCTATGTAATAAAAACTTTTTCAATCTTGTTTTAGTTATTTAATAATACAAGCATGCTATAATTTAACAGTTTATCTCTGTCTTCATCTGTTTGGGCTGCTATAACTAACATATCCACAGACTGGGTGGCTTATAAACAACAGAAACTTATTTCTCACAGTCCTGGAGATCGGAAGTACAAGGTCAAGGTGCCTAGTCACGTTTGGTGAGGGCCCTCTTCCTGTTTATAGCCAGAGCCCTCTGGCTATGGGCTCACATGGTGAAAGGGATTTGGGGTCTCTTTCAAATCTCTTTTATAAGGTACTAATCCCATCAATTAGGGCTCCACCTTCAAAACCCAAAGTCCCTGCCTGCTAATAGGGACTTTGTATGTAATATTTACTCAGTGTAAAAAAAAATCAGAAAAGATAGAGAAAATGAAAAAAGTACTCTCCTGTAATTCCATCATCTACTTTGGGAGTTGAAAAGCTGTGGCCAATGGGCCAACCTGAAGTATACAACTTGATAGATGTTAACAAATGAATGTATGTCCCAGATCAAGGTGCAGAATGTTGCCAGCATCCAGAAACCTCCCTCACAGCTCCTTCCTCCAAACCCACTCCCTTAAAGAGCCACTATCTCTAATTCTACTACTATAGATTGATTTCATTTATTTTGAAAATTTGTAAGGCCCTAAAATGGAAGCATTGCCAAGATACATCAACCATGGAATGAATAGGTAAATTCTGGTGCATTTACATAGTAAAAATGAACTATTGCTATATGTACAAATAATTTAGAATTCAAAATATTATCAAATTATGGCCCAATATTAATGAATTTTACAATGCTGAGCAAAAGAAGCCAGACCTAAAAGAGTAAATATTGTGTGGTTCCATTTAAAATATTTATTACAAATAAAAATTCTTACATGTCTACTAGTTTATAGAAAACTAGAAAAAATCTAAGAGATGAAACTATCAACGATATATTAGCAGAAAGCCATTTTCTGCATTTAGTATTCTTAAGAATGTCAGTACACTATCCATTAAAAATCCTCAAAAAAAAAAAAACCTCACAAAAACTTAGCATATTTAGATGCTTTTAGAATAGCTCTTGAACAAATGATTGTTTACACTATCATCTATACCATCGTTTACTTGATCAATTCTCTCTTATTAAATGTTGAGGTTGCTTGTGATTTATGCCACATTTTACCAGGCTGCCACGAAGTGCCCATTTCCCCACCCTGCTCTGGTCTGGATGTGATTCTGTTGCAGTCAGTGGCCTTTGACTAAAATGTGTTCATAAAACTGAACCCTCTTTTTCTCTCTTTCCTTCTCCTAAATATCCATTTTAGATAAGAAGGCTGACTGCACGATCACAATGGCTGACTCGGACTTGCTGGCTTTAATGACGGGTAAAATGAATCCTCAGTCGGTAAGTCTGATGGCACTTGTATCCTTCCAGGAGGTGGGGCTTTTAGCCCACTCCACTTTATCTCATTTCAATATCATGAAGTGCAAAGTCACAAAACTCAGTGCTCACTTAACAAAGGACAAACGCGTGGAACAGACTACACGCCAGACACTGTCCTGTGTGCTGGAAATGCCCAGACGAATAAGAAATAGTACCCATGCTCAGGGCGTCCACAGTTTGGTATAAGACAGATCTGCAAAAGAGTAAGTGCAGCCAGATATCGGAGGTGCCATGCCAGGCTGTGGTCAGGGAGGGTGGGGAAAGGAGCAGCCTTGATTGACTTCCTGGTCTGTCAGAGAAAGGCTCACAGGAAGTGACAAGTGAGCTGAGTCCTCGTGGTTCAGTGAGCGGTGCACACATGGAGAACAGGAGCAATCAGGTGGAAGGAGGGAGACTGAACAAAGGAGTGACCTTTTACGTTTTGTATCTTTGCCTAATTGATCCTTCCTTTGTCTCTCAAACTAAGCTCAGACATTATCTCCAAAGACCTCCTTCCAAGTTCTTGGGAGCTATAGCCAGTTCCTCTTCTGTTCCTCTTCCTGGGCTGCTAGCTTAGCACTTGCCACATTATATGAGAGTTTTGGTGTGTTTTTAAAAATATATATTTTTATTGATTTCAGAGAGGAAGAGGGAGGGAGAGATAGAAACATCAATGATGAAAGAGAATCTTTGATCTGCTGCCTCCTTCATGCCCCTAATGGGGATCAAGCCCACAACCCGGGTATGTGCCCTTGACTGGAATTGAGCCTGGGTCCCTTTATTCTGCAGGTTGATGCTCTATCCATTGAGCCAAACCATCTAGGGTTATATGAATCTATGTGCCTCTCTTCCCCATTAGATTGTGCTTATCTTAAAGGAACAAACCCCATCTTATCTTCTTGTCTCCAGAATTTAGCCTGACCTTTTATGTGTTATATAGATTTTCCTGGCCCCCGAATTGTCCAGGATCATCTTGTATTCTTTAGTTGCTAGTGGTGAATAGAGCACTGTACACAGAGCTTTCCATTAGCTATCTATCTATATAAAAGCCTAAGTGACCATCGCAACTGAACAGATGACTGAACAGGCTGTGTGGGGCAAGTAGGCCAGCAGTGGGGGCAGTGAGGAGCAACCAAACAACTGAACAGCAGGCTGTATGGGGCCACCAGGCTGTCAGGGGGGTAGTTGGGGGCAACCAGGCCAGCGGGGAAATGGGAGGGGGGGGAAGTTGGGGGTAATCAGGCTGGTAGACAGAGGCTATTAGGGGTGATCAGGCTGGCAGGGGAGGGGCAGTTAGGGGCAATCAGGCAGGCAGGCAGGTAAGCGGTTAGGAGCCAGTGGTCCAGGATTATGAGAGGGATGTCCTGGAATGGAGAGGGTGCAGGCTGGGCTGAGGGGACCCTTCCCCCCCACCCCTGTGCACGTACTTCATGCACTGGGCCTCTAGTAGATAATAAAAAGAAAACTCAGATGTTTCTTTCCATTGTAACCTTTTTTTGTTGTTGCCTCAGCCTGATTTGTTTTAGGTCTTTTTCCCTTAGTAATTATAAAAATTGGATAAAACAACTAAATCTGACTCCCACTTGTATTCCTTTTTAAAATGTTTTTTTTTTTTTTGAGAAACCAAGATGGCGGCATAGGGTAGACACCCAAAATGTAGTCTACCACAACAAATTAGAATTTAGAACTGGAAAACAAGGGAGGTATTGCCCTGAAGCGCCAGACGGCTAGCTGAGAGGAGGCTTTGCCATCTGGGAAGGAGAGAGAAGGCACGCTGAACCTCAGGAACTGTGAAGAAGTTTTCTAAGGCGAGATTGACAGGGAACCAAAGATTGCGCCACCCTGAGACCCCGCCCTATCCAAGCGGAGTACAGAAGCCCTCCTAGCTGAGACACTGCTGATCCTCACAGCCAATTGGCTTGGAGATCAACGCATCCCAGTGATACCAACAATAAGCAAGGCTTAACAACAAGACTGCACACACAGCCAAAACCGGTTTGGCTCAATAGATAGAGCGTCGGCTTGGGGACTGAAGGACCCGGGTTCGATTCCGGTCAAGGGCATGTACCTTGGTTGCGGGCATATCCCCAGTAGGGGGTGTGCAAGAGGCAACTGATCGATGACTCTCTCTCATCGATGTTTCTAGCTCTCTATCTCTCTCCCTTCCTCTCTATACAAAATCAATAAAATATATATTTAAAAAAAAAAAAAAAAAAAAAAAGACTGCACACACAGCCCACAAAGGGCTACACCAAGACTGTCCACTTCAGGTAACTGGGAAGGCTGTGCTACTGGGTTCTACCAGAACACCTAGCACACAAAGCTATTCCATCAAATCAGGGAAACTAAAATGCAGACAAGAGGAAGGACACAAAGGAAGGAGATGGAGGAAAAGAAAAGATTGGACACTGAGTTCAAAACTACAGTTATAAGGTTATTCAACAATATCCTAAAAAAGGCCGATAAAATAAATGAGACCTATGAGGATATGAAAAGGGAGCAACTAGAAATAATAAGGGATCAACTAGAAATGAAGAAAACATTGTCTGAAATAAAAAATGTTATACAAAGTCCTAAAAACAGACTGGAAGATCGCAAGAATCAAGACAAAGATTTAGAACACAAAGAGCCAGAGGACACTCCTCTGCAGAAGCGAGAAGATAAGAGAATCCAGAAAGTTGAAGATAGTGTAAGAAACCTCTGGGACAACTTCAAGCGAACCAACATCAGAATTATGGGGGTCCCAGAAGATGAGAGAGAGCAAGATACCGAAAGAATACTGGAAGAAATAGTGACAGAAAACTTCCCCTACCTGGGGAAAGAAAGACTTACAAGTCCAGGAAGCCTGCAGAACCCCAAACAAAAGGAATCCAAGGAGGACCACACCAAGACACATCATAATTAAAATTCCAAGAGCAAAAGACAAAGAGAGAATATTAAAAGCAGCAAGAGCAAAGCAGGTAGTTACCTATAAAGGAGCACCCATACGATTGTCAGCTGATTCCTCAACAGAAACCATGCAGGCCAGACGGGAATGGCAAGAAATATTCAAGGTGATGAATAGCAAGAACCTACAGCCAAAAATACTCTACTCAGCAAAGCTATCACTCACAATCGAAGGACAGATAAAGAGCTTCACAAATAAAAAAAAGCTAAAAGAGTTCATCACCGTCAAACCAGAATTATATGAATTGCTGAAGGGGGTTATATAGGAAGAGGAAGAAGATAAATATAAAAATTATGAACAACAAATATGTAACTATCAACAAGTGTATCTAAAAACCAAGGGAATTAAAAAATCTGATGAACAATAATAACTGGTGAATATAATAGAATCAGAGGTATGGAAGGGGAGTGGACTGATGATTCTCGGGGAAAAGGGGAGTGGGGGTGAGGGAAGAGACTGAACAAAAACTGCACCTATGGATGAGGACAATGGGGGATGGGGAAAGAACAGAGGGTGGAGTGGGAACCTGGTAGAGGGGAGCAATTGAGGGGGGGAAGAGGAACACATTTGTAATAATCTGAACAATAAAGATTTATTAAAAAAATAAAAATTAAAAAATAAATAAAAATTTTTTTTCTAAGCAACTAAGCATATTTCAGTTAATGCATTGACAAAGGAGAGATGTACATTTATGATGTTTCAACTGAATAGACACCATTGGCACTGGCCTTTCCACCCACTGAGCCTGCTCCAAAAATCTGGATAGAACAGAGGCCACCAATATAGGAGCTGGCTGTCACCCTCCTGCCCACCCACTGCTCCTCATTCCACTGGGCACTCACTCCGTGCACTCCCTCGGCAGGGTGGTCAGACTTCACACACCAACCACGCTGGGCTCACTCGCTCACTCCGTTTATCTGTTTACTACCCATTTTGGAGAGGGAAGTGTCAGCTTGTTTTTCTTGAGCTCCTGTTAGCACCCAAAGGAACTAAAGATAAAAAACGACAGGCCTTTCTATTAATGTGCTAATGGCCTTCCCTGATGCTCCGTGGCGGATTTGACTGGAAACCGTTAGCTGCAGTGGAAATTACAGTTTCAGTGTTTGGCTCAGTGGAGACAGAGCATGTGCGCTGCAGCGGCAAGCACGTATGAAGAACACCTAGGGCCAGATTAAAATGATTCTTATGTTTGGATTCCCTGAAGGGCAAAGAGTCATGTGTTCTCCATAATAGTTAACAAATAAGAAGTCATTTTCTCTTTTCATATCAAAAGGGGAAAGATGGTGAGTTTCTCTTCTAGGTACAACTGGTTCGTATTTTTAAAGGACATATGTTAAATATATTGTGTTCTGAGGCACCTGACCTTTAAGTCATCAGCCAGAAAGCTGAGTGCCATATAGGAAGGAAATATTTAGTTTGTCCAGACAGCGGAGGGGAGGGGGGAGGAGGAATTACTCACCGGTACTAGAAGGTGTGGAAGCAGGGCTCTGCACTCCCCTGGGTGAGGCAGAAGAGCTCCTGCCTTCTTCCTGTACTTGTTAAACAGCTAAGACTGCCGGGAGCTTTGTTCATCCAGCCCTTATTTAAGAATCCAGTGAAAGGCTGAGATCATAGCAGGGGAATCAGGCTGTGTTCCAGATTTTGCAATTTGTCCCAAGTTTTCCCGGGATTTTGTTACATGGTAAATTCAGTGAGCATCATGTGATCTAATCCCAGGCAGTTGTTAAATGGAACAAACTGTGGCTCTGCATTACGGATTGGTTTGATTCTTCTTATTGAGCCAAAGATGAACACAAGCTCCTCAGCCCCAGCAGCTGCGGCCTCCCTCCGCAGGGATGAGGCCTTTATCATGAAGACTGAAAAGGAGGGAAAAGTTGGTGACATTTCATCCGTATCATATTCCAGGAGTTTCTGAGTGTGTTAAGCATGTGCCTTTTCCTCTCAGCAGACTTCTGAAGTTTTCAGGCCGTATTCCTTATCCACATGCAATTCTCTAGACAAAGCCAATCTAGTGTGAACCCACCTCGCCTGGTATTTGAAAAAGGCAGGTAAAAACGGACTCAATTTCTAAAGATACTTGGGAAAGTTGTGCCGTTTGACTGCGCTAAGTAAAGCATGGCTTTTATAGTTCCTTCCTGTTGAAGAATCTGGTTTTAAATCTATTCCAGGAAGTTGAGTTTCATGTTTTGAAGAGAGTACGAGACCTGATAAATAAGTGATCTCAGGGCTGGCTAGTCTAGAAATATCAGCAGTTACAAAGCAAAGAACACAAAGTAATAACTTTTCTTTCTTCTTACTCACAGGCCTTCTTTCAAGGCAAATTGAAAATCGCTGGCAACATGGGTCTGGCTATGAAGTTACAGAATCTTCAGCTCCAGCCGGGCAAAGCTAAGCTGTGAAGAACTTCCTGTGCCTACCTTGGAAATCAAGATGAGACTTACAGATATATATCTATGTATTACACTGTCAGAACTTAGACTGAATCAAGCATTGGCAATAGCATGAGATTTGTTTTTAAGTGGGTGTGACCAATCCTGTTTTTCCTAAGCTCTGGGTGAATAGAGCCTGATGGTATACTACTGCTTTGCTGAATTGCATACAACTGTGCATTACAAAGTTAATACGGTAATTATGGTTTTGGGTAAAATTGAGTTCCAGAGTAAAATTAGGAACAGCAAAATCCAAAAACCATGTAAACAAAAGCTCCCATTTTGCTTATGAAGTATATTTGAGGATTATTCTGCTGAAGATTCAACTTAAGTTTTCCTTGGGAGAACTAGGGGAGAAACAAAATACCAGAAGCTGGCCAGAAATTAGTGTTGTGCCCTTAATGACCTTGATCTGTTTTCTATTAATAATTTTTAAAATTCTGTGCTGGGATTAAAACAATGAAAAGTTTTGCATTTTGTGCCACCAGAATGGTATTTTCTTCCCAGATCTAAACAAAAGAAATATCAGAGCTTGGGGGGGAATTTTATAGCTGAACACAGGCCTATTTTTAAAATAAAAATATTTTTAAATTAGTTTCCTTCTTGAAAAATCAGTGTTAAGTTATTTTAATAAAAATTGCTTTGATATGCACAGTTTCAAGATTATCTAGATTATTTTAAGTTTATAAAGTTCAGTCCTATTATAATATTTCTTTTCATATGTTTAATTGAATAATTACCCACATTTATTTTTCTTCCTAGTTTTTCTAATGCTAATGTTATTTCTTATAACTCAGTAAGATAGGAGGAAAATAATGGAAGAATGTTTAATAGAAAATTAAATTGCTCTTCCTGATCTTTGTTTTTTATTGTGTTTGTCCTTTTTGTTCAGGGTTGTCTAAGTGAAGGAGATGAAGAGGGAAACACTGAGGGATTTCCAACCAGGGCTGCCTCCTGGTCACTTAGACACCATCAGCAGATGTTCATTAGCGAGCCTTGGGTTGTCGAATCACTGGACTAGGAGCCAGGACTCCTGCTTCTCTAGACACCTGCCTGCATGGCCTGCTTGCTCAGCTGTTAAAAGAGGGGTTTAAGTAGGTGGTCTGTGAGGTTTCTGATGCTCTGATCAAACTGTGAGTCTATTCAGAGCCCAGAACACCGTTGGGGAGTTACTCAGGCTCCACCTTTCTGTTGTTAACACGTGACTTCGCCCGAAGATGGTCAGAGGCAAAAAGCCAATTTAAGTTTTAGATGCTTGTTGGAGCCTGTGCTGATCAGGACTGTGGATCAGATCCCCTTGGAACTTTTAGCTTCTGTGTGATCCAGCAGAAGAGCATTGGGTGATGGGGCAAGATGGCAAATTAAGCCAATATAAGCTTATCTCAAGTGCCTTTAAGAAAAAAGACTTTAAGAAAAAAGTGTCCACAAAAATGTCTGATTTTGCTGTAGTTTGGATTTACTACATTATTCTGCCTTCACTTATCTCCGATAGCAAGTGATACCTGAAATAGGCTTTAGGGTGAGCCTGAAAACACAAAACCAAAAACCGGTTCTTGTATAGAAATGTATTCACATAAAAGTGCAATTTATATATATTCTAGAGAATTTTTTAGTAATTAAAATGGCTGCTGTTAATGGTTTTCCTCCTTGAGCAGGTTGAGCCTCAGTTGCCTGATTTATAAAGATACTAATATCGACTTCCCAGGATTATTGGGAACCTAGAGAGATAACATATGTAAAGTACCTAAATTAGTGTTAGGCACATCATAGTCATTTTTAGTTCCCTCACTGTATTGTGAATTCCCTTCCTTTCCCCTCCACAACCTCTACCCCTTGCCTCTGTGATATGTGATATGACATCTGTAGTGGTTTCTAACGTCCCACTTTTTGAGTCTTTATTTTATTCGTTCACTTATTGGACAAATATTTATCAAATGCTTACCTTATATAGGGTGCTATGTGGAGGGTACAGTGCTAGGTACTGGAGTTAGTCGTGAGTTCCTCCCCTCACAGTACTTACAGTCTTAGTGGGAGAAACAGTCAATCTAAGAGATGAATAATAATTACAGACTGTGGTGAGCCATGCAGGAAATTGCTGGGATGAAGAATCCCAGTGAGGGGTTGCCTTTGATAAAGTGGTAAGGGAGACATTTCTGAAGAGGTAATATTTAAGCTGAGATCTAAAGGTTGCGGAGTGGACCATACAAAGAACATTGCATACAAGGGTAGAAAGAGAAGTCGAATTGGCAGGACATATACTGTTCTAAAATTTGGCATGTTCCAAAAATTGCGAGGAGGCCCATGCGAGTGGAAAATAGTGAATGGGAAGGACAGGCCTAAGATGAGGTTGCATGGGCACATAGGAGCTGGTTGTACTGGAATCTGTTCATATGGTCAGGAGTTTGTATGTCATTCTTAGTGCAGTTGGGAGTGTTGAAGGTGGAGCTTCATGTATGTGTGTTTCTCACTCCTGCTGCGTATCACTTTGCCATCATATCCTAAGTGAAGGATCCAGCTAATGGAGTAGCTGTGTTGTGACCATCATGTCAGGAGAAGAGAAAAAGGTCAAGCACACATTGGCTCTTAAAGTTTCCACAAGAAGTGATCCAAATCACTCTTGTTCCCACTTCATTGTCCTAAGAAAGTCACATGCCCCCACCCCCTTGCCATGTACCAGAAGTAGAGAATGGAGTTGGAACATTTGTGAAAGAACTGATGGCATCACAGAAGGGCTGTAAGCATGGGGATGAAATGATTTAAACTCACGGTAACTGAGGGAAGGGGCAGGAGCAGATGCCCAGGTGCAAGAAGGTGATGTCCTGGACTAGGGCGCCAGTGGTGGAAATGTAAGTGGAGGTAGAGCTGACAGACTTGCAAACTTGGTGACTGGATGTAGGGGCAAGAATGACTTCCAGTGACAGGCCGGCTGAATAGAGGGTCATGACTGGAATGATGAGGGGACAAGCAGGTTTTAGGGAGAGTGGTTGAAATAATAGGCTCCACTTATGAACTTGTTAACTTTGAGATGCCTGAGAGATTTTCCAGTGGAGAAGCAAGGAGGCAATTGGATTTACAAAATGAGCTCAGAGGTAAGGTCAACTTGGAGATATTAAATATATTTTAAAAATACACACACACACACACACACATATATATATTTATATATATATATTTTAATATATTTTTATTGATTTCAGGGAGGAAGGGAGAGAGAAAGAGAGAAACATCAGTGATGAGAGAGAATCATTGATCAGCTGCTTCCTGCACGGCCCATCCTGGGGACTGAGTCCACAACCAGGGCATGTGCCCTGACCGGGAATCGAACAGTGACCTCTTGGTTCATAGATCGGCACTCAATCACTGAGCCATGCTGGCTGGGCTAGAGATGTATTCTGAAGTCATGAGCATACAGATGGTCTTTAAAGCTACAGGAATGACTGATTCCACCTCGGGAGCCTAAGGGGTTGGAGTAAGCCTTGAGGAGCATTACAGATCAGGTAGAGGAGGAAGAATCTGGCAGTGGGGAGGAGGCAGAGGCAGGCCCTAGAGGATGGGGGGAAATTTCCCGAGAAGAGAGTACAGTGTAACCAACAAGTGGGAGAGATCAGCTGTGTCCTGTGAGGTTGAGTAGGATGATGTCTAAAATCATCTACTGGATTAAATTTGGCAAAATAGAAGTCATTGGTGATCACTACGAAATCTGTTTCAGTGGAGTAGCAGGGGTAAAAGCTAGATTGGAACTGGTGACATAAAGAGCTATGAGTAAAAACATAGAGTTCTATTTGGTAGTGAGCAAGCACTTCAGTTAATACTTTCAGTTCTAAATTAGGCCATCTTGCACGTGCTGGTCTCTGTGCCCACCCTCTCCAGTTTCTCCCTGTCCCCGACCCTCACCTTATCCATTTGGCAAATTCCTTTTCATGCCTTTAGCTGTCAGGAAGCTGTCCCAGTTCATCACAAAGAGAGCTCCCCATTGCTTTGTTGTAACTGGTTTCTGTCTCCACTGAACAGAGAGCTCCCTAAGGGCAGGGAGAAGTGCACCTTGTGCGTTCATCCGTTTGATATCCCAGCACAAAGTCTTGGCTTACTGTCCTTAAGTGAGTAAATATCGATAGATAAGCTGAATAACAATCTCTGAGGATAGGAACCTTGCCACAGAAATGCATTTTCTATTTCAGTGACCCTCTGGCGCCCTGATGATGAAAGAGAATATTACAAATTCTCCATTAGCCTGACCCGTCCTGTTCTTTCTTTGAAAATATTTGCAGCTTCTCAGAACAGAGTTCAACTGACGATTGAAGCAGCCCAAAGCAATAAACATGAGAAGCCACTTTGTTGTGGTTTTATTGCATGTTTTTTACAAGGTGGCCTCGTGGGTTCTGTGTGCATTAGAGTCAGTGGTCTTTTTGCTGTACTTGTCTAGAGAATTCCAGCTCTCAGGCTCCCACAATCTTTGTTGCAGGAAAACAACGGAGAGCATGATTAGGAAGCGGAGGGTGGAGGTGGGGGTGCAGAGGGAGGCGTGATCAGAAGAATCTGGTCTCAGATCAAGTTGGCTTCCTGGAAGCTAAGTTAGGACAAGCATTTAACCCTCACCAGCCTTCAGTTTCTTCCTCTGCACAAGGGGGATGCTAAATTTTTTTAAGAGTCTCATTAGACTGAACACCTTAAGGAAATAAACGCTATGTCATTTATCTTTGAGTCTCTAGCCTTAATACCATGTCTGCCAGAATACACATGAATAAAAGTTTCTTGAAGAAAGTATTAGACAGTGATCTCTAAAGTTCTTTTTAAATTGTAAAATACCTTCAGAGGTTATATCATATATAAATATAAACTTCTATTTTCCTCATAGATTACCTTAGGAAAAAATATGACACTAAATCCTATAATTAATGGCTTTATCTTTTGAAACTTATGCAGTTTCAGAAAATAATACATTTAGAGCATTCTGGTATCGTGGGAGAACT